AAAAAAAACTTTAATATTTCTTTGGATTTATATTGATATTTAAAATTATCTAATTTATTGAGCATTATTTGACTAAGTTTTATTAGTATCTAGAAAGATGCCTAATCTAGTATATAATTGGTTGGTTAATAGCTTTGTAAGATTGATATTTTTTTTTTTTTTTAATCTTATTATAAACTATTTATCTTGTTTCTTGTTTTTTTTTTTATGAATTTTTATTTATTTTTTTTAAAAAAAGTTCAATATATAAAAGAAGGTAATTAGTTTTTTAAAGCAAAAGTTATTTGTCTTGTTATTAAAAAGTAAAAATTATTTATTTCTTTAGGTATCCTTTGATCTTTTTTTTTATAAAAGAAATTTTTAGGAATTTTGATATTGTTGAAAAAGATTTTTTATTATTTTATTTAATATTTTTATTATAATTTATAAATTAAATTAAAATTAATATATTTATTATATATTTATTAAAAAAAAACAAAAAAAATTTTTGACGATAAACTTATGTTTAATAAATGTCTCGCATTTAATGCTTATTTGCAGCAGGAAAAACAAAAAAAATTTTTTTTTGTTTTGATTTTAATATTTATACAATTTAAAATTTAAATTTTTTTTTGCTTTTTATAATTAATATGATTTTATTAAAAATTCTATAAACAATGTTTTAATAATTTATAGTTTATTTTAAATAAATAAATTATATATTATTTAAAAGTTTTATATAAAATAAATAAAAAAATAAATAATTTTTATTTATTTATTATTAATTTTTTAAAAATTAATTTTTATTTACTTGTTTTAAAAATAACCAAAGGAATAGATTTTAGAATTGATTATTAGTTAAGTAAAATAAAAATTTTAAAAGAGTATTAATAAAAAATTAATATTTTTGATAAAAGTATTTAAATATAAAATTTTAAAAAAATTTTTAATAATCAAACTAATTATAAAGAATTAATATTATTTAAAGATATTAATTATTAGATTAATTTTTTAAAAATATAATTTTTATTTATATTCAATTTAGGCTTTTATATTATTTTTTTAATTTTTTGAAATTATATTATTATATATACATATATTATAGTTTCTTAAAATCAATGTCAGTATTATGATTATAGTTAACTAAAAATATTATTATTTTATAAAAATAAATAAAGATGTTATCAATTTTATTAGATAACCAAACAATAATGATTTTTTTTCAAATATAACAAATAAATCTTATTTTTATTTTATTTGTTTATCTACAGTATATCATATAAATAATTACTGTAAATTTAAGAATTGTACGATTCAATTACTGTAAATAGTTTGAATAATTATGTAACCACATGTCAAACTTAATCGGTTAATACAATATTTTTGAAATTTTTTTTTTTGTTAATAAACAAACTACTTATTATTGGTATGTCCGATGAACGTGTGATATTGAAATAAAAATTTTATATAAAGTTGGATGTGCAAGTTAAAAAAATTTTTTGATTAACAAAAAAATGATAACGAATGATCGGTCATTGATTTTTCAATCTAAAAATATGGCATTTTTTTTTCTTATGACAAAACGACAAACCAATGATTTCAAAAATAAGATTATTATTAGACAGCATATCAAAAAAAAAAAAAAATTAATTTTTTGCATTTAACATGTTTGAAGATGGTTGTGTGTGACCAATGAAAAAAGGTTAAAAAGCATGTGCATATATTTTTAATAATGAAAATTTATTTACATTGAATACGAACATCAATAGGAAATTCGATTTCTAATCAAGCAAATGACGATTGTGATTGTATAATTATTCTTTGCAGCTGCATCTCAAATTGGTATCATTTTTGCCAAGAGTATTCATTCGTGTTAATATATAAGTTAATATTTCAGCCTGAAATTGGCAAACTTTTCAAAGCCGGAGGAATTGTAATTTTGATTGGAATTTCATTTGACATTGATATCACAAAGAAACTTTATTTAACAAGTTGGCATAAAGCCGCGAATAGAAATTTCTAAATCTGGACAAATTTTGAGTCTATAAAAAGCTAGACGGAATCATTGAAGCTAAAATAGATGCCATTTGAATGACGTCCACGGTTCAAAAAAATTGTTCATCAATCGAAATAAAGAGAAAAGACTAACCAGATAAAAATTCATTGTAGACTTTGACTTTGGAAAGCGACAGTTGTATATACAAAACGTAATGTTCATGTCAAATGAACATCCCATATCCCCTCACTACTAATAATACACAAGCCTAGATATTCTCTATATCACTGGGATTCATTTGTGCAGGACCCGCCGCCGTCACTACCGAATCCCTAATGTGATATACCTTTATCCATCCACCCACATAACTGTTAGCCCCTCTCAAGGGGAAATCAGCAGTCCTGAACATCAACTCTAATGTAGCGTTTCTTGCCACCCCGTTCACGTCCTTCTTTATTATAAGCCCCTTGGAAAATATCCAACTCAGATCTTGTCTCATACTATTATCTGGATTTAGTAGGTATAAATGATAGTTCTTTGGATTTGTATCATCGGGTATGTTATAGAAACGACCGCTTATTGAGGTGATCTCTCGCGAAATTTCGCATGAGGAAAGGTAACCATGGAATGTAGAAGGTATAGAAGAAGGGTCGCGAATACGATATGAGGAAGTGAGATTCGCGTGAACACAGAATTCACGTGACTTTAATACCTGTTGGGACGAGAGAACGTACTGTAAGGGAAGTACATACGAGAAAGCTTGCGACATTAGAAAGAATAACATCAGTAAGGCTGATGTGAAGAGTATTGAGTAAATTCTTGTGGTCATTAATTTGATTTGACCCATGTTTGTGCAAGGTGTGTGTGGTTCGTGCGCACTAAAACTTGTTCAAAGTGTGTGGTTTGTGTGCTCCAAAGTTTGTTCAGAGTGTGTGCAATAAAATTATGTGTATTGTAGGTTTGGTTGGAGATTTACTGTAGCCTTTTTCTTTTCTTTTTTTTTAGAGGAACGGTAAAAGACGAATGTGAATGCTAAGAATTGTGTTGACGAGATATTGGGAGCGGATAGTGAATATATATACCGAAAAAAAGTTCTCGAAAAATCCTAATTCTATACCATATATAGGTGTTATCAACATTGAGGCTGCAATCTCCTGGATATGCGTGTGTTTTTGAAAACTTTATATTTAGGATAAAGTAATATCCAGTATGTCGTCAAAAGATGATGGACCCGTGATTGTTCTCGTAACGAATAAGAAAAGCCACCGGTCTGTTTTACATGTGGGAAGTCAATTTATAAATAAATTGAATGAATAAAATGAACGAATCTTTTTCTTTATTTCCGAAGTTTCTTCTATTTTTCTTTAAAAAGCGGTTCAACCGGTGAAACACACTTGCGCATGTACTAGAAATGCGTGACGTGATATCCATTTGCATAAGAGTAATAACAATGATAATTTTCGACAGTTGCTATTTGCATTGCATATAGAAACTGCATATAATCAAATTTATCCTTAATTAAATAAATTACCGAAATTTTGTCTATCAAAAGACTTTACTTAAAGAATGTTTCTTTTGACCAAATCGAGTCGTTCCATTTCTTTATTTAATAAGAATTCTATTGTTAATTGAAAACTTTCCGATTTTTGGTTATGCGATTAATTCCGATCAAATCAAGTTATATACCGCATATAGGTGATTTGACGATATAGGCAGGTTTCACGTCAAGCATTCATCGAAATTGTGGAGGCATTGCTCATAATCCTGAAACATTACTTGATAATAAAAAAAATTTTCCCCAACATGACGGTGGTGCTTAGCCTAATTCATGGAGACTTGATAATGCTAGCCGATTATTGGTGAATGATTTCGAGAATCTCCCTTATCTCTATATCGGCCTACACAATAGAAATTCGACCGTAGCGAACTCATCAAGTATCGTATGATATTTGGACCGAGCCTCAACAGTCCGTCAACGCATGTGGAATTTTGCAGTAATAACGGGTAACGACCCATCCATCATCTTGCATAGTGGTCGATTGTACACCACGTCCTCAAAGCTTAATGTGTAAATATGAGAAAGATAAAATTTCATCATAAACGTGTTGACTGTGGATTGCATTTTGGGGAATTTACGCTAACATTATAACAAACTTGGTAACTTTAATTTTGGCGCATGAATCTCTAGATCTAAAGGAACGTTTTTGGAAGAACCATATTTTAATTATTTCCTTACAATACAAATTTTAACTCGGGTTTTCCTTCTAATTTAGGCGTGCAACGATACCCCATACGATCTTTGTATTAGATTTCGTATGTGCAATGATTAACATTATAAACCTTACACTGTACAATACAGTAATCATTAAACCCAAGGGCATTTATACTGGGGTATAAATCGTCACTTTATGACAAACTTCTTTGACATTGTTTTTATATTGATGTAGTGATCAATTGCAATAACTCATACATTTAACATCAAATTTATTGAAAGTTAGGCGAAAATATCGCACATTAAATTACGTATGCCATCTGATACAAATATTGAGAAGACTAAATTATTCATACAGAGAACGAGTTCATGTTTTGTGAAGAATATAAAAAAAAATTAACAAGCAAAGAAATGAAATCCGAAAGAATAAAAAATTGATGCAACAATTAAATTAACAAAATGAATTTGAAATTCCGACTTAGACTTTCTGGATCTTGGCTTTACCAATGACTACATTATCCCTCTTCTTTACTATGAAATAACATCCCACAATGGTGTCTACATCCAATCCATCAACGTCACATTGGAATGCCGAGGTACCGGGAGGGTTGATGGCAACCTTTGCTCGAATTTCTTTGGTAATATCCTTGAGAGGACTGTCTTTAGCATCGTGAACGTGGAATTCATAATTGCTCAACACAGCATCAGGAAATCCAGTGTTGAACTGTCCAAGAACTCGGACTGTCGTTTCGGTAATCTGGGTAAAAGTAAACCGACCGGAACACTTCTTCACGTCGCCATCGTTTTCGAAGTCTGCATAGCAAACTTCACCCAAGTAGCGTTTATCTAAACCACGTTTGAGCACGTCACGCTCAAACACAGGTTTCGAAGTTACGATGGCGGAACACAGCGAAAGGATGAGGAGGGCAGAGATCAGACTTTTCACTAAGGTTGACTTGTATGCAGACATGTTTTCTTTTTTTTTTGTCTTGATAATTTCTTTGTTTAAGAGTTTTTTCTTTCTCGAGATTGGATTTTGAAAGGCAACGAAACTTAGTCTTTTTATATTTAACGCGCGAACATTCGGGCTGTGCTAAATTTCTGTGAAAGTAAGACTTGAACTTCTCTCGTAGCTCTCATCGTGGCTATTTCATAAGCCACTCGTGAAGGTAAAAAGAACAGATTTCTAACTTTCTCCTACAATTGCAAGCCACCATGAATTAAATCGCACGATTTCTATAAAGGTTGTTCACAATAACGTTGTAAGCAAAGTATTTCAAAGCTGTTACGTCTTCAAAATGTAAGGTTCGATGTAGCTGGTTAAACTTGGTTCTCCTTTACGCCCTTTATGAACCGCCACTCTGATATTTAGTTGGTTATATTAAACATCATTCTTTACTTCCTGCATCTTTTTCAAAGAAATTGATTCTCTGAACAAATACATTTATCAATGGTCACCAATGTTCTAAGTTAGATTTATAACCGATTTTGTAAAAAAGTTGACTTCGATACCCTAGATCATTGTTCTTAATATAATAATGCTACTAAATTAATAAATTTACTCAATTTGTTTATTGCCATATCGAGTGTATTTCAAAATTTTAATTATATGGAGTAAGCCATAGCTAAGTTACAACGGTGGAATCGTAATTTTGTAAGCCACAGAAGCATCTCCAGTAAGTGCCAAGCCACGATCGAAGATTAGTTGTAATTCGCAAGCCACATATAGGATTATTGCTAAAAAAGGTTCAAACGAAGGAATCGAATCGAGTGAACTTTGTTAATCCGTGGCTTTCGATCATACGATCTCTTGCTCAGCCGCGTATATTTCAAGTTGGAATTCCTGGGCTCCAATAATCGTATGAATTCAAATTTCGTGAAGAAAACAAGACAATATTTGAATTCGGGAATTTTATCCGAGAAAAAGGTAAAGCCTCAATTTGCATGCAACGGGTTTAACTAATTTTGAATGGCTGTTGATCTATTATTACAGATGGCGGTTTGTTTTTTTGCATTCGGAGCAGGCTGAGTCAAATTCCAATATTACAGGTTGATAACTTTAGATCTCACCACGTTCGCAATTGCTAATTTACCAATTTTCCTTTTTTGTCCTTTCAAATAAGGAGATCATGCTTGTAAAAAAATTATATAGACCTAATGGATTAACACAGGTCATGGTTTTATCTAACTTCAAATCTTTAATTTTTATTAATAAATATCAATAAAATATTATCGCAGCAATTTGTTACGATGTCTACAAAAAAAAATCTTTTTGATAATTTGTTTTTCAAAGATCTAATCAGAAAAGGATAAGATAAATTCAAAAAAAGTTTTTTGTAATCGTGAGCAAGAAAAAATGACAATCACATATTTAATAAATTATATACAGTGTTATAGTGTGATACGGCGAGTCTGTCGCTTCGATCTGGCCTACGCCGTGTAACGGTCGTAATTCGTTTTCCTTTGTAATAGGCGTGTATGTTTTTGGCCGAGTCTATATTGTGGATCTATTAATGTATGATAATTTTATCGAATGACCAACCTTTTCTCCATTGCTTTACTTGTCACTTTTATACTTCTTTATTATATACTTGATATACCAAATATACTTGATATACTTGATATACCTAATATACCTGATATACCTAATATACCTGATATACCTAATATACCTAATTATCTTTTCCTTATTTATCTATCTTTTTGTATTACTATTTTTACCTCTAACAACAGTATGTATAAAATCTTATAAACCAACCTATTCTTTAATATCTTGTGAATAGGTGTATTATCAATTGATCATTATTTTTTATTTGTAATTTTTATCTTTTTGTGTAAAATAAATTATATACGGTGTGTATAAACTGATTTAAAAAAATTTTTTTATAATAAAAATATTAACAATATTTAAACATAAAATTCTTTTATTCCTTACCATTAATAAAATCATTAATATTAAATTTCCTAAAATAAGTTTTATTTTATAATTTGCTCTGGTTAACTTGATTTTTTAAAAAATGGATTTAAATTTTAAACAAATTAATTGGAAACAATAATCTTGTTAACATTGTGTAAGAAATCAATATCTGTTTATTTATTTATTTTATTCATTATAATATATACAGTGTAAATCAAAAATAATCAAACAATATATCAATTTTTATTTTTATAATATTTTAATAACTAATTGATAAAATAAGATAAACATTTATATTAATATGATTAAGAATATAAAAAAAAATTAAATATATTTAAAAAAGTTTAAAAAAAAATTTTTTTTAAAGGTTTTTATTAAAATTTAATTTATAAAAAATTTTTTTAAAAAAAATATAATTAATTTCAAGTATATTATAAAATAGAATAATAATAATAAAAAAAAAAAAAAAAAATATCAGAGGCAACAAAAGATCAAAGACTAGATCACTATATGTAACATTATTAACCAATGTCCAACCCTTAGAAAAGCAAACGAACCAGAAATTCCAATTAGCATACACGTCTTGGAAAACCTTGTCAAAAAAGAATTGGAACATTTCAAGAAAAAGGAGATTACCAACAATCGCATTATGACAGTTGAAATAGAAGACTGGGGAGTACAAATAATTAAAGAACACATTCAATCTCCAGACTACATACA